TAATCTGAGAACAAATCAGCGAAAAAAGTAAAAATGAGAAACGCCATAGCAGATGATCTATAGCAGACGAGCCAATATCGCAGATGAGCCCGTCATAGCAGATGAGCTAGAATAGCAGACGAGTAAATAGCAGATAATATCAAAGCAGATGAGTATTTGGTTTTTGTACCAGACCTCAATTTACTGATTTTCTCCTCATTTTTTTGCGGTTCACGGAAAAGTGGCGTTAAAAAACTTGGGGGCATCGCTCAAATTATTCCTGACTTTGGCTGGAACTTTGGCTGAAAATTGTGAAACAACCGCGTTAGTAGTATTTTGATTTTTTCTCAGGATCCAATCATAATCTACCAGAATCCATCAAAAAATCTGGTCATTTTCTGATCATTTTCATCCAACATTTTCAATTCATTTTGTCAGTCCGATTGTTTTTCGAACTTTTCGGATCAAAAAATGAAGTTATCAAAAAACGAATAATTCCATTCGATTTTTCGCAGTCGATTACATAGGGACAATGTCTAACAATAAAAATAATGAGTTTCTAACGCCCGGTACAAAGCTTCAAAAATGGACTTGCGCCGTGGGGAGAAACATTTGGTCGCCCCGCAACCTTTCATTGCGGCGCATATAGGTTTTCAAACATCCGTTGCCTGTTATTCTTATGACGAGGCTCCGACCTGGTAGTATTTTAACTTTCAGATCTCCGATCAATCACATCGTTGTCTGGCATATTTAGAGCTGTCTTGATCTTGGCTTGACAATAAGCAGAGTGTCTCGGTAGTACTATAAGTTGTATCAGTTTCAGACTCATTTTTCAGGAAATCCATTAATTCTGACAAGAGATAAACTCATTTCTCAAAGACAACGAAATTGTTTTATTTTCACTTAAAATGATACAATTTTTAAAGAACTTCGTGGGGGCAAGGAGAAAATATGGGCATGAAGGGAATGAAATTTTTGGATCGGGAAGGAAAAGCTTATGGAACAACAGAGAAAGATCTCAGGATGAGATGACGATTTATGAGAGAGTGACACGTTTGAAAATAGTTATTATTTGGAGTGAAATGATGCATCACGATGGGAAATGGGGGTTGAAAGAACCGAGAGAGAAATCTACAAGCTAACCGGAGATATGACAAAAACGTTATTCTACCAGAAATAATTAATATATGCATGAAAGATAAAGTTAATCCGAAAACAAATCATCGAGCAATGGAACCACTAAATCCTCGTAATTTTTCTCCATCACAGCAAGATCCTCTCCTTGAAGTTGTTCAGGAGAGAATGAATCTTTGTAGGTTGTGAAGACGAGATTTCGGAGATCTGCCTCTGATTTTCCACTGATTGCTTGCTCAAGATTGAGCTTGAGGAATGCGACTTTTACCTGAAATTAAAAAGTGTGATTGAAGTTTTAAAATCTGGGGACCAATTAGCAAACAAAAGCTCAAATGTATCTTTTGACCTTCATAACCTACCGATTACAACAGTACTCTGATCAAAACGGCCTTCATTTTTTGACAGCCTTGGTTTTGATAACTATCTTTTTTGGGCGCAATTGATATATTCGTAGCAGGATAAAAAAGAAAGTACGAAAGTCTTTTCAATACACAAAACATGTTCTCACCTCGTCTTCAGACATTCCAATGATCTCTCCAAGGTAGAATCTCTCCTCAAAGTCGATCTCTTGACTGATCAGAAACCGCTTGGCAATTACCCGAAACTGATAAGTTTTGAGTGCAGATTGATTTTCTTCTCTCCTTCCGAAAAACTCCTCTGGAATTCCTTCGTCCGTGTTGTCAAACATTCTGAACACTTTTGGAATATTTGGGTCAGTTTCGTTTGCACCTGGACAGAATAGTCGAACCCATTTAGCGCCCTCCTCTCTGAAAAAATAAACCATAAACACTGTTATTGATAAGGAGAGGTTCTGATAAAAACATTTGCATGTGGTGGTGGTGGAAACTTACTGATAAAGACGAGCGCGACGGTGTTCGATGATGTCGGCTGGTGTTGTATGAATCGCAAGTGGAGCTGGAAGATCAAGAAGACACGCGATCATCCAGAAAGCAACCAATTTAGGATCAGCATCGGCAATAACAACTGGCTTGTAGACGGGAGCAATGAATTGTCCACGCTCTGGTTTTCGCAGTTTCTCATGGCGATGCTTCTTTGAAGTTTTCTTGATTTTCAAACGACGCATCTGTGGTGACACCTTCAATCGAATTGGGATCGGATCTGGCGGCTTTTGCATCTTATCAGCTTGTTCTTGAAGTGCTCGAATGAGAACATCAATAGGAAGCATTTCGTTGATTTGGTCCCGATCATGTTGAATCTTCGCTCTTCTGATCATGTCCTTTTGCATAGCAAGTTTCTCATGAAATCGATGTTCGACGGGGCGAAACTGATAGGGGAACATCTTATGTGGTTCATGAGGACTTCCTTTGTATGCGTACCCATTGTCTGGACAAGTTACGAATGGTGATACTTTGGGAGCACGATGTGATCGACTGAAGTGAGAATGAATTCGTTTTCTGAATGGTGTCGGAGCGGCATAGAACTTCTCCGCTTGTGTTTGAAGAACTCTTTTGATAGATGGAGTCATCTGGAAATGAATAGAGATAATGATAATAAAATGAAAGTAGAAAGTAGAAAAAAGTAGCAGAAGTATATTCGGAGAGCAAAAACGAAGAAAAAAGATAAGAGCCGAAGGTATGTGGTGGACACACATACACTCCACTAAAGGATTACAATCTGTCGTTTTGAAAATCAGCCGACTTTCACTTTCACTTTCAGTAGATGATGGCTGATAGATTTAGAATCATTTTGAATCATCGGAGTGGAATAAGAAGATATGATAATAGTCACACGCATCACTGGTAACTGTCTCTTCTCTTCTTTTAAACAGAATGACTATTTGAGCAAGAAGTTCTTCGGTGTGTCTCTCTGTTAATAACAATTGTATCTAAATCTGTGTTGATGTGTATCGGACAAGGGGAAATTGTACAAACATTGCACGCTTATGGTGCCTACAGTGCGAATCTCTCTCCCTTGGCAGTAATGAGTCACGTGATGATGATGATGTCATCGAGAAAAATAGGAGGACAGACAATCGGAGGCATTATGGTAGATATCTTCAAGGAACACCCATAGAACACAGAGAACAATATTTTGTAATCGCGGCAAAACCGGTTTACATGCTTCATATGAAGCGGGGAGAAAGTTCTAGAAGAGTCATGAGACCTTGTACTTCAAGAACTACTAATAAGGAAAGTTTCCAGGAATGGGGTATCTGAGGAAAAGATAAGAGCCAGTTTCTTTAAAAAAAAAGAAGAAATATGACACAAAAGTACCAAAGGTCGATCTTATCACACTTGTGGATGTCAATGACACGTATCATTCTAGGTTTTGTATTGTTCGTTTATAAGAGAGGAGCCTTTGGGGAGAGAAGAACCAGAAATCTTTTGATGTTTATGTACAACTTGTTATGTTAAAAGAAGAGAACTCGTGGTTTCGCTGCTATCACGAATTCATAATAGGGGGAAGCTAAGGAATCGGGAGGGAATTCGAAATTTTGGTTTTTATGGTTTTGCATTTTTGAAGGTCAAAAAGGTATAGGTTCAGTTTTAGATTCAAGTTAAAAAATGCTAGCTGACGATACGTTGGGAACCACGTTGCGGACGAAAATTCGACGGTGAGCGGAGCTTAGGGCCGTTAGAGAATTCCTTAAAGGCACATTTAAAGGATCATGCACTTTCGTAATTATTTTCTGGCCTGTTTTTTCGATTTTTCGATAAATTTCATAGATTTTGAATTTTTTCCAAACTAAAATCCCAAACATCCGCTGAAAATTACATAGAAACTGTGAAATTTTTTTCTTGATTTTAAACTTTGTTAAAGAAAAAATCAGAAAAATTGAAAATAATGCAAATTATCGGAAAAATAAGAGAGATCAGAAAATAATTAAGAAAATTTATGCTCCTTCAAGGATTTCGCTACCAGACCTAAGCTCCGCCCACAATTTTCGGCCGTAGTAATATGTGGTTCCCAACTAGGGGATCTTCAACTAGAATTCTCAAATTTGATTAAAATAATACTTCTTATTTCACGAGGACAGAACCACTAGGGTTTAAAAAATTCTGGGAAAGGACCAAAAACAATCTAGCAAAGGCCAAGTGTAGTCACAAGCTGCTTTCTCTCATCAAACAATTCAGTACTCGTTATCACTCATTTGATTTTCTCGAATGACGAAAGAAACGAGAAGAGCCACACTCTCTCTTTCTTCTCTTATTCCCCTCAATACCGCTTTCTCTTATCACCTCTGGAGTGAACAAAGTTGGTGATGGAGTAATAAGGAAGGCACATGATATAGTTTTTGAGTCCTTAGATTTAATTTTACTCCTTCTGTTCATGTTCATGTGTTTCTGTTTTTAGAATTGAGATCTGTGAGATTTGAAATTTTGGGAATAAAATGGAGCAGGGGGCCACTAGACTGGAACATGGAAAATATAAGTAAATGATTCAAATGAAGAAAAAAGAACTCGGAGAATGTATAGTCGCTGCTTACCAGTTGGTTACTTGGAAGAAGGGGAACGAGAGAAAAGAGGAAATCAAACAGATCAGTGTGAGAGTTATGATGAAACCATAACATTTTCGGAAAGCACAGATTGTGGAGTGTATGTGTTTATCACCATTCTTTCTTCTTTCTCTCGTTTTCCCAATGCCCCCGTCGCCTCTGTTCCTCTGGAGAAGAGATGAATGTATGATAGAAGGGAAACAAGACTCGGTAAGCCACGCACACACACCACACAGCCAAAAAATTATTAAAAGACGGCGGAAGAGGACGAGAGAGAGAGAAACGGAAAACAGCGATATGAATTTAAAAATGAGAATGAATGAGAGTGGTCGGTGAAGAGATCAAGCGAACATTCGTTATAAGATTCAGAAGACGTTCAACGAATTTGGGAATACGGTAGCTCAAAGGAGGGAAGACAGGAGATTGTTTGGAGTGGCCATTCTGACGTGACGACGCACCTCCGTTTCTCAGTAGCGTAGCTCGGCCGCTTCAGCACCGTAGCTCAGCCGGTAGCTGCGCGGCACCTCCAGAAGTTGACCCACAAGTTCAAGTCCTCGAGGGCTTAGCTGAATGGAATTGCCAGAAAATTATCTTTAACAAATAGCGAATATAATATCAAAAACGTTTTCTCAGAATATCTTCAGATTAACAACAATATTCTTTTGAATGCAAATTCTGATTGGAGAACCTTTTCCCTAATAATAGCTTGTTACGTCAGCCGCTCTTTTTAACGGGATTATGAGCTCGCTTCTGGCTAACATGTGGGATTTGTTTTCTTTTTTCTATTTTCATACAGAGAAACGCCAGATTGCTTTAGTGGATGGAGTTCTCGGGAAAACTTTTTGAGAATTACATACCGTAAAATCTCTAATAGAAGGTCTCTTTAACGTTTAAATTTGAGCCGATTTATCTCGGTCCCTGTCAAAGATATAGAAAAGTTCTCAACTGATAAATTGTTTGTCATAATAAAAAAGTTTGTTATCAATTGACACATTCCCGATATCTTGCAAAGGAATTGCGATAATTGAGCTAAAACTCGGCACTGTGGGGCCCTTCTATTACAGGTTATATGGTAAAGTAGGTAGAGATCGTAAAACGAAGAGCGAAAAGAGGTTTTGCAACTTCACTAAAAGAGATACTCCAAACTTTATTATGAAGGCGTCATCCATACACTATCGTTTCCCATAACCTCCAAAAAGTTCCACCCTACTCCAATAGTACGAAATTCTAAGAACATGCTGCTCTTTCTCCTAAAAGACATCTCAAAATGAACCCAACAATTTTCTTCTGGTCAATAGCTCTTCTCACATCCACGCCTTTCCGTTTCTCTCTCTCTCTCTCAATATGACCTTTAGCGGAACAAAAATACTACTAAACCCGGCATGTGTTATTCCTATTCCGCCCTCTCCTATCCCTTTCTTCTTTTTCTCTTATTGTTTCGAAATATATTCGGAAAATCCATTGGTCACAAATTGAGAGGAGGAGGTAAACAACCTCCTCGACTACTACCGGAACGAATCTTCCAGAATATCACGTTTTCTCTATGCAAAAAGCTGAAAATAAAAGCAACAGGAAGTAGTGGAACATGAATAAAGACTAACATCATCTTTGGATATTTGAAAAGGCGCACAAAAATGCCAGAAGGAGTAAAACGTACAAGTAAAAAATGAAATGGGGATGGCGGTGGTGGCGGAGAGACATAGCGATGAGTAAGAAGAGAACACGAGACGGACAGCTTGTGATCTGGGCCCGTCTCTTTCATGGAGCGGGAAAAAAAGGAGGCACGGACTCTTAGATAGTATGTGTTGTGTTGACCTAATGGAAAAAAGAAGAAGAAGGAGAAGGAGGAGGAGAGCCATATGTGGGCTGAACGACGGGAAAGAAACAATTGCAAAAAGTGTATGTGTGTACAGAGTTAGCGAAGAGAAAGTAAGTGTGATACGCAGATAAGATTGTCCCCATACCAGGCGTCCTGAATTTTTCCGTGAACTTGTCAATCTACCTTTGAGAGCAGAAAAACCTAATTTTTCCAAAAAAAAGAGGCTTTGGTGATCTCATGACCTCAATTTTTGAAATTATCAAAATCAAAATAAACGGCATTATCTCGCTGCTATTTAGGGTTTTCTGGGAAAATTTGGGAATTTGGGCATTATCTCGATGCTATTTAGGGTTTTCTGGAAAATTTTGGGAAATTGTAGTCCAGTGGGGACTTCGTTAGGGTTCGCTAACCGGGAACAAACGGACACACAGAATTTGGTGATTGTAAATAGTAAAGATTATGAGGGGCAATTCTCAGAAAGTTTTAGAAAAAGAAGGGACACCTACAAACATGAAAATAAGAAGAAGAACAGCGTCTCTCTCTCTCCTCTTCATCTTCTTCTTTGCTTCCTGACTTCTCAACCAGGTATTCTATAATTACATATGCATATATCTGTGTATGTGTATGTGCAACGTCCACCGTGGATGGATGCGAATGCTGCTCTCTAATAAAAAGTGCTCCCCTTCCTCTGCTCCTCCCCCCTTACTCCTCCATTCGCGCTCGTTTTCATTTTGTTAAAAAGAGCCAGATTGAGCACAGAGCGAGAAACGATGGATAGACACGTAAGGGGACACACACAAGCTAATTGGGGGCGCCCCTTCCGAAGAAGAAGAAAGACAGCAAAAAAAGAAGAAGAAGGGATGGAGCAGAATCATCTTTATTCGCCCCCATCGCTCCTAAACAAAGTGAATGATGTTGAATCATATTGGTTGGGCTGGTGGTGGTGTGCTGAATTCAATTCTCCTAAAATGGGGTGGAATGAAGAAAAAGAAGAAGGAGAATAATAAATGGAGGAGGAAGGAATATATTTGTCTTTTTCGAGTAAAGAAAAGACGAAATTCTACGCAGATTATTTGTGAGAGCTCTGTCTCCTCCTAACAAGAGAGATACATTTCTGGAGACAAGTAGAAGAGCGATTGTTGCATCCCCGGAGAAGAAAAGAGAAAAAAAGAAGAAGAAGAAAAGGGGTTTGGAATAAGAAGTAGGAAGAAGAAGAAGCAGGTGTTCTTTTTGGCAGCAGCAGAACAGAGACTTTTTGGATTCGGGACACGGAATGTATGTACACAAACAGGCAAAAAAGATATGAAATTGATGAGAAGAGTAGAGAAGTGTTGGAGAGACACAGAGAGAGGTCATTGAACTTTTTGAAACCACCAGAAGTTGTTTGTTCAAATATAATTCATACTTGTAAAATTCCGGGCCGGGCCGGGCCTGAGGAAATTTTCAAGGCCCGGGCCCGGGCCGGAAGGCCCGGTGTCAAAAATTCTGTATTTTTGAGCCAAATTTTGAGCTCTCAATATAATTTTTTCCATTTTTTTTCGTATTTCGGATTGTTTCCGTACTCAAATCTTTGCAAATCCAAATAAATTCATTAGAGCAGTTGTTTCATACAACAAATCCCAACTTTTTGAATAGTTTTAATCGGGTCATGACACATTCGGTTGAGAGCCTGCAATTTCACGCATGTTTCTTTGTCCACCAGACTTTCGAAAACTAACCTGCTCACGGCGAGACGCAGTTTCCGGAAGTAAGACCTTCTCGACTTGTGTAAATTGAGCTCACTATCAGAGAAATTTATCATCTCTTTTTTTCTTGTTTTTTTCGGTGATCCCTTGCATCGTTTTTACGTAATCCTTTAAGCTGAAAAGGGCAAAAATTATCTTACCTGCAGAGTTTTCTCCGAACTTAAAATCTTCAAAATATTCGTATTTTTGTCGGTTCATAGAATTACTGTCTTCTATAGAAGTCGTATCTATAAATTGAACTTTGAATAGTCCGCTGTCCTTAAAAAATTCACCTAAAATTTTGCAGAAACGTGCACAACACATTAAAATATATTCCAGAAAATAAAGCTTAAATAATTGAGCGAAAAAAACTCAAAAGTTGAGAGAAATACCCATTTTCCTGACGAAAAAAATTTAGGACAACAAAAAAAAACAATTCATCCGCGGCAGCTGAGTCATTGATGGCGCATTTCTCGTGGCAACTTCGGTATTAGATCTAGTCCAGATCTAATTCCGAATGAACTCAGATCTAATTCAGAATTTCGAGTTATTCGATTTAATTTCGAATGAAGTCAGATCTAATTCCGAATCGTTTACCGGAATTCAGTGTGAAGATATCAAACAATATCCTTATTCTTATAACAAGCTTCTAAATTTAATTTCAAATTATATCTTGTCTGGAACTTTTTTTCTATAAGGTCAGAAACCTAGAACAGCGAAAACATTTTATGAACTCGGATACACATACCGTAAAACCTGAGTTAGAAGGGCCGTCCCTTTTATTGTTCCAGGGTGTCTACTCCTATTACAGGACCCTTCAATTAGAGGGGGCCTTTCTATATTTTTTTGCCATTTTTTCCGAAGTTTTTCATCGGAAAATTTGGTGAATTCGCTCTCAAAAATCTATCAATTTCTTCAAAATTGAGCAGTATTTCGAACAAAAAATAAGTTTTTTTAATGAATTTCTGGGAATTCGTGAAATTTTCGGAATATTTTTTTACTGAAAAAATTATAATTCCAAACAGTACATTTTGACAGGGAGCCTTCTATTGTTTCAAGCCCCTCTCGGAGGGCTCTTCTATTAGAGAGACGCTTTTATTAAATGGGCCCTTCTAATACAGGTTTTACGGTATTACGGTAGTCGTCACTGTGGGACGTTCACGGCCACCGGTGCTCTTCCACAGCTCCGGATTTTAACCAGAATAATATCCTTCATCTCATAACTAGATCCTAATTTTCCTTTCAAATAAAATAAATTTTGTCTGAAACTTGTTTTCTTGGATGTCAGAAATCTAAGAAAAAACATCGAATACGTATTTTTAATTAGGATACACATAACTTTAGAGAGGTGCACAAATCCAATGTTGTTCTAGATTAACAACTCGGCCTTTGACATTTTTATGTCGTCGGTCTAGACGCAAATTTGTGAAAAAAATACGAGTTGAAACTGATATGTCGCTCTTGTTTCAATAATTTCTGGGTTTCAGAAATAATTGTTAACCAGACTGGAAAACGAAGAACACGAAAAGATTGATTTCGTACTAGTTGAGGGAACTTGAAAATATTTATCTTCTTCTGGGGAAAAAAAGAAGAAGAAGAGAAGTTTAATTAAATCTTCTTAGAAAAATTGCAACAACACAAAATGAAAAAGTTATTTGAAAGTACTCGAGCTCAGGGAAGCTCTGGAAGACATCGGCTATTGAAAACAAATTCTGCGGAAAGGAATATATCGAATTTCCTCTAATAGAATTCCATTGTTAACTTTGAGCTCAATTATCTTGATTCCTGTGAGAGATATCAAAATTTTGTCGACTGATAAAATATTGGTGATATTATGATAAAACTTTTATCAATTGACACGTGTTTGATATCTTTCACAGGAATGAAGATAATTGAGCACATAGTTGGTTTTTGGGTGGGCTTCACCAGAGTAAACATATTTTTCATTGAAACATTCAGGTCATCTCGAAATCAGAAAAATTGCATAGAAAGTTTGCTATTTTCTAACATCATCTTACAAACAGAAATTGTTTTGGAACCCTACAAATTGCCAGTATCCAAGAAGGTTCCAGGAAAAAGAACAAAAAATATAATAAGGAAGAAAACAAGACAAAAAAGCAAGATTAATAATAGTCTTTTCCATCTTTTCAGAACAACAAATTGTCTCATTATTTTGCATTCTTGAAATGCAGTTTTTCAGAAAATTGTATTTTTCTTTTTTCTTTCTGAGAATAGCTCAATTTCTAAATATCGCTAATTCCAATGTATTTTGTTATTAAAAAAGAAAAAAATGCGACTTTTGTCGCCAGGAAACCCATGAAAAGCTTCCTGATCACTTACTTTTTCTATCAGTTCATATGCAAATTTTCTTTTATTTATCATGTATTTCTATTTTCCCATGCTTTCTTTTATCCATGTTATTATGTTTTTTGAATGTCAAAGTTGGAATTGCGCCATCAGATATGTAATTTTTATGTCAGCACTCCCATTTTTTGTTCATTTTCATTGGTCATTTTTCAGTGAAAATTTTCACAATACTAATAAACAAACACACTCTCTTTTTCCTCTTTTTTTTTCATTCGCATACAGTTGTCGCTCTATTAGCTTTTTGTCCCTGTTTACTCCGGCTTTATTTCAAAATGCTGTTGATGCAGGCTCCAAAACAGTAATAATCTTTTGAGCTCTCCCTTTTTTCAATTTTCTCGTTTTTTCAAATAGGTGCAGAACTACGAATGGGTCTTGTTATCTTTGGAGTGTCAAATGAAATAAGAAAAAAAACAGTCAGTAGATAACAAAATAAGAAAAAAATGAGCCAACGCGGCATCATCATGCACAGATAGCTCTAGGGTTTTTTGCTGAAAAATGACTTCCTATTTCTTTCAGAGCACAAAAACTGTGTCATTAAATGTTTCTCTTTTTCAGTTGAAGCTTGTTAATGTTCGTTATTTGTTTTGCAAGATTTTGAAATATTTCATCCACCATGAGGAAAAATTCTAGCTATTAAAAAATTCCAGCCGGTCATTTATGATTTTTCCTTGTTCGTGTTAGTGCCCGTAAGAAACCAGGGATTTTTTAACTTTTAGTTGACAGCTTTTTCAGAAATTCGCGCAAATTAGGTTTTTTTGGAAATGAAATAAATTAGCACTGTAATCAGCATGTTTAACAGTACCAGTCACCAAAGTTTCTAAAAGTTATCAATAATTTTTAATAATATAAAACTAAAAATTGAAAACAATAAGAGGATGAACATAAAGTGCTGAAAACCATACGGTCCAAATTCCCAGAATCTATAAAATTTAAAGACCAATGTAACTGGCAAAAGCCTAAAATTCATGAATACGGTAAACACTCTGATAGAAGGTCACCCTATACTTTTTTTTGAGTTCAATTTTCTCAAATCCTATAAGAGATATAAAAAATGTGACTACTTATCAAATGTTGGCGATGTCATGACAAACATTTTACCTGTTGACAGATTCTTGTTATCTATTATAGAAATTGAGATAGTTGAGCTCAAAGTGCAAGTCTAGGATAGCCGTGTATTAGTGTTTTCGGTAATTTACAATTTTTCGAAAACATTTGTTTGCATATTGTAGATGACTATGAGCAAAAGGTTTGATAGGTGGAATAAATGAAATAGAGCTATCAATGCAACGCTTTATTTCCTACTGTTCCATTTTAAGAACTTACATGAGTCATGTTTCCACCTTTACCCCTTGTTCGCAGACATCCTAATCACTTCTCTCCCGTGTAATTATCTTGTTTACATAACCCCTCTCCAATGCTCCATCTGTTATAATTCCACTCGTCACATACATTTCCTCATCCTTCAAAGCTCAAAAAAACTCTCTTGCGAACCACGGTGCTCTCTTTCTACTCCTTTTTATTTTCTTCCGCACTCTCTTTCCATCCGCAGAGCACAAACATCCGCTTCCGCGCGGCTCCGGCGCCTTTCTCAGCTTGCTCGCACTTACTTTCGCCCTACGTGTGTTCAAATGGCACGCCATATAATTCCTTTTTCAGATCTTGACATGTTTTATGTTGCACTATTTTTCAACTTGTTCCTATTAATATCTGCTGAACTGGATAGAGGTTATGGTTACCAGACAGGCCATATTTCCATGAATGATTCTGAAATTACCATTTTGATCAACTCAACTTTTGAAATTATTGAAGACTTTGATGTAAGATAATGAAAAAGAAGCTGAAATATTTTGTTAAGTAATTTTCAGAATGAAACCGAGGTGTCCACAGTTCAACCTATTCCAGAGACAACAGTAAAGGTAGAAAAAGAATCTGTGAAACTTCCAATTCGGATGAAAAAGTGAGAATTCGTAATATTCTAAAAAAGTCCTAAATTCAAATCTTCAGACTTCGTCCTGTCACCAACGTTCAGTGTCAAAAATATTCAGAAGCGGAAAAATATCAGCTGCTAGAATCGGCTGGCGGAAGAAACCAGATGTTTATGGCTGATTCTGTGGAAGAGGCTTCTCAGAACTTTGCTGATTCATTCACCTCGAATCCATTGAGTAGTACGATGGATGATGCTATTTTGATTGCTTCGGTTCAACAGGTACAGTAACCACAGTAATACAGTAATACTAAAACTCATAACTTCTAGCCATCATCCCCAAATTGTGATCCGAGATGTCAGATGATAAAATCGGCGTTAAACGATGAAATAGCTCATCGATCGCAATCCAACTCGACTTATTCTCCAATGCGACATATTTTCGGTCGTCTTCGTGCGTCGGTATTCAGTGATGCCCCGCCCACTGGATCTTCATGCTCTCTTGGAAACTTCATTCCCGTCGGAACGTGTAGTGATTTGGGAGAGAGTATAGATGGAGGTACTCATGAATCTTTGTGTTCGGCATGTCGTGGACTTTATATGTTGAATGGAAACTGTTTTCCAAAGATTTTCAATACGGTTCAATGTAATTCACAAGAGATGGGATGTATTTTTGACACATTTACCGACAAGGGTGAGTTTTTTTCTCGAAAACAGGGAACGTCATGGGTTCAAGATAAAATAGCTATCCTCAGTCAAGTGTCTGAAAATTCTAAATTTCAGGTTGAAAAAAAAACAAAAAAAATGTTACAATTTTATATTTGCTCTCATAGTAACTAAACCGTTAACTTTGAGGTCAATTATCTCGGTTCCTGTGAAAGATATGACACATTTATCAACAGATAAAACAATGACGATATTATGATAAGCAATTTTATAGTTGATAACTGTTTGATATCTTTTATAGGAGTCGAGATACTTAATTGAGCTTAAAGTTGACGGTTTGGGTGGGCTTCTATGGTATTTTCTTGCATTTTTACAGCGTTATGTTACGGTGGAACTAAAATTGTAGAGTGAAAACAGAAGTAGCTTGTTTTTGCAGTTTTTTACAAAATCTCAAAATTTCGTATGAAAGTCTCAACTATAAATCACCGTAATCACTCTCAATAGAGTGTTCCCAAACCGTCAACTTTGAATCCATATATCTGTTTTTCTGTGAAAGATATCACAAAGCAATCAACTGACAAATTTTTAACCATGTTATCAAAAATATTTTATCATTTAACGGAAATTCTATATGTTTCACAGGAAGCGAGATAAATTTACAGAAAGCGAGATAAAATCTATCAGCATGTTATCGGTAAATACAATATCGGGTAATTTCGGCTTTTTCGATTCTAATTTTGTTTGCATTTGCAATTTAAAAAATAAAAAATAAAAAAAACAGAAAAGATTTTCCTTTTGGAACCGGAAAATATATGAAACTCTCAAAGTCAGCGCTAAATTGAGAGCTCGGTCTATTTGAGCTCAATTATCTCGATTCGTGTGAAAGATATCAACAAGTGAACATTTGACAGAATACTTATCATAATATCACCAATATTTTATTAGTTGACCACTGTTTGATATCTTTCACAGGGATCGAGATAATCGAGCTCAAAGTTGATGGTTTGGGTGGGCTTCTGTTAGACGGAATGCGGTATTTCCTATTTACGAATTTCTACAAAACTGAAGTGTTATTTGTGTCTATTGTGCCCTTTATGTCCGATATTTCCGCTTGAAATTTGGAAAAAAAACTTTTAAGCTCCGCCCACAATGCTTGTAATATCTAATTCTTTCAGCACATGGCCAATGCGGTGTCCAAACTCTTTCATTCAAAGTACTCCGTAATACTGGAGATGAGAACTGCGAGGATTGGATTGTGGAGCAAATTCAGGTAACACTTCCTGACCCGATTCCCTTCATTTTGAATCCCCGATTTCCAGCTTCCTGTCGCTTGTCAATGTTCGCTAAGCAAGAGCTCTTTTCTACGAGCAAAACCAAACAGAGAACTTTAGATTGTTAACGAACTCTTGCACTTCTTCGTCCACATTCCAACTGTTCTTGCTCTCCGGGTTATTTGAATAAATCAAACTACATTTTGTTATAAAATTACAAATAATTTATTATGAAACAGAAAAAGTGTAGTATTGACAAATTCACAGAGATTTCTATAAGTTTACAAATCCGTTAAAACAGCACAAGGTGATAGAGAGAACAGAGAACATGAAAAGGTGAAATGGAATGAGAAACGATAAAAATGTATGTCACAGCTAGAAAAATACAGGAGGGTGAATAGAGTATCTTTTGGAGGGGCAGATCTAGGGAACCACAGTGTTCGAGGGTGCTCAGATTCTCTGGCATGAGCAATATCTGCATAGTTTTTCGAATGTCGTTCTTTATTACGATTTATTTTATTCCGACGAAAATTAATTGTCTAACAAAACTTTTTAGAGGGGGATTAAAAGAGAGAAAGAGAGAGAATGGGAACTACAAAGAGAAGGAACAGAACACTGTGTGGTGTTCGGTTTATCATACGAATGGAAATAAGTAAAACGTAACGATAGTATCTTTGTGCCCATACGAGGTATGGTATGTAAAATCAATTTAAAATGCTGACGAAGACGATGGACCCGCGTCTCCACCGCCTGAACGGCGCATGCGGTAGTCACCACTGCTTGGAATTCCTCTGAAATTTATTTTGGAACTTGTCTGGAAGTCTATAATATGATATACCTAGCAGAGGTGGTCATGGATGTGCGCCTTGCAGCTGGATCCGATGCACTAAGATCCTTAAGTTTCCCAAAGTCTATTTCAAGATCGAAATCGTGTAGACTGGACATATTCGTCTTCTTTTTTGGAAGGTTCGGAGGTGGAAGTGTCGGTTTCGCTGTTGACTCTTTGCCAGTTTCAGACACTGAAAAATCAATAACGAATTTTCTTTAAAAGATAGCAGAACTCACAGTTAGTCGTCGATGAGGAGTTTGAGAGAGTTCCATCTAATTTAGACTTAGATCCAGATACTACACGCATACCACCCTTCTTTCTGGTGAACGGATCATCTTGATTGTTCTCCTCAATCTTTACTTGTCCAGTGAGCATAGCATCCTTGATTGACATTCGATTTCTGTGATTGATGAACGCAATCGCGCTGATAGACTTGCTTCTCTGCTTATCCAGCTCATCGGCGGTCCGTTCAATTTCGTCAATTTCTTTCTGAACCCTTTCGGCTTCTCGAATATCTCCTCTCTGTTGAGCAAGTTCTTTCTGCCTTGACAAGCCAGCCTTCGTCATCGCAAAGTTTCTGGTAACTTTTTGGAACTTGGACTTCTCCTGGACCATTTGATCAACTTCTTTATCCGAATATTTGTGGTTGATTGCTTTCTCGATGTCAAGACGTTTTTTATCCATTATATCGACTGTCGGGACGACGCCATACGCTTTAGTGGCCGCTAGCCATTCCGTAAATTCGACTTGCTCGAAATCAGCGTTTGATACAAATTGCATACGGAACGGGCGCTCAGTTTTACCTGAAACGGTGTTGGTCATTTTTTGCGGGATTAAAAACGATAATTACCGAACTGGCATTTGATGCTTTTGTTCGTCTTCTTCCCTTCCAGATCGTAGACTTTGTTTGTCTCTTCAACACCAACAATCTTCCATATTCGGTACTTGCTATCCGATCCACTGATGGTTCCTTGTCCGAGTTTAACGTAGCATCCAACGACAGTGGAGTCGAAGAATGGGGCGTGGACCATCAGCGACAATTTATGACGAGACAGACGGGATTTTTTAAGTTCAGCTAAAGCATCAACCTCCTTTTTAAGAACTTTTTCTTGTTCGGCCGTCCGTTCTGGAGATGATTCACGAGAACTCGAAGAAGATCGTGAGCTTTCACTTGAACTGGAAGAACTGGAAGAACCACTGTTGGCACCGAACACAGCGTCAATGGAGAGAGCAGCATTCTTCGCATTTTTCTTTTCAATTTCTTTACGTTTGTGCTTCAGAGCATCCATCGCGTTCTTTTCCTTATGTTTGCGGTTTATCTACAAAAAGAAAAGTTATGAACGTTAGTTAGTATGAGATATTCTTACTTCACTCGGTCGATGAAACTCTGCATCCATTTCAGAATCTGAATCTGATGAATTCCGATTCTTAGGTGATCCTCCGTCGCTTCCGCTGTTCATCTTTCGCCTCTTCTCATTTTTCGCGTTCTTTTCAGATTTTTTGGCTTTCTTCGCAAGCTGTTGTGCGATTTCCTCTCGAGCTTGGGCACTCTCACGAGCTTCGATTCTTTCGAAAATCTCTTTCTCTTTTTCCAACTCTGACAGTCCCATCCATCTAGCCTTATCCTCTTTATCAACGAATAGACTGTTGTCCACACCATCGTCGCTGCAGCTGGATGCCTTTCGTTTCCTTTTCGTGAGGACTTTCTTTTTGGCAGGTGCGGCTCTAGAAAAACAATTTTACTCATAAAAATAAAAAAAAAAAGAACTCACTTTGGTTTTTCGACATCGGATCCCGATTCCGATGAATCACTAGCATTCTTCTTCGGCGCAGGAGCATCGGAGTCCGAATCTGAGTCCGACGTGGCAGCAGTTGGTTTCTTTCTATCGTCTTCCGAAGAAGCTGACTCAGAGGAAGACATTTCGATTGAACTGACCCTGAAAATTAAAAAAAATAGGTGTATGCGAATTTGAGAAAGGAATAGCGAGGATTGAGGCAAAAATCGATAAATTGACTCGCTAGTTGAATCATTTTCGAGTTCAATGACTTATTATCGTGGTTGCTGAGTGTGTGAATGGGAATTCGTTTTAAAATTAGATCGTTTTTGAAATTTCTCAACTAAATGCATAATATTCTAATAGAAATGCATATTTTGAGGCTAGTTTGTAGGGAAATTGCGAAAGACAACATTATGACCTTTTCAAAAAGGCTAGAGTAGGTGAAAAAGGGCTTAGGAGGAAATCGAATAAGATAAAGATCATAACGACAAAGAGAATCAATGAAAATAGCTGAAAATGCTCCATAAAGTGCGAAAATGGAGCAACCGCCACCGGAATTGTGACAAAACGAACTCTCCGCCCATTTTTTTCGCAAGCCGCGCACGCGTTTCTCGCAACCGCGCGGCGCGCAACAGAGAAAATACTAATTTTACACATGAACGCCAGTTTCGAGAATAATTCAATGCAAATCTATAAATATGGGATGTTGTTCGAACAAATTTAATAGGGAGACAACATAAAGACTATCGATTTTACTGTTCAAACACCTGTATTCTGTATTTTTCTCCTGGAAATGTGGAAAATCAATAAAACAGTGCACAGTGGATTCTTTTCTTGAGAAATTTTGTATAATCTGTTGTTTTTTGTTTCCCGGGAAAAATAGAAAAGCTCTGAAAAAAGTTTCAATCTAGAAAAATCAAAATTATAATATCAGTTGAAAGTGGGCATCTTCCGAGTTCACACACCCTCGTTCATTATTGTCGGATTAAAAAAAGTGACACCTGAAAATCTCGGAGACGGCGCTCGTGTCGATTTACGAGGGGGCGGAGCGAAAACGGATACTGTAGATAACAAATTTATTTATGTGAATTTAGTGGGATTTTGTGAACAAAATTTTGATTTCTTGGTATAAAAATGATCTCTAGCATCTCTAGAATCTATCTTTCAGCAAAAAACTAAACTTAAACGCGAAAGTAGCTCGAACGAGCCGAAATTCTGAAACATTACGTTTTTGCCGCATTTTTTCGTAGATCAAAAAAAGCAAAATTTTTCAAATTCTCAGGTGTCACTTTTTTTAATTCGACAATAACTTCCCTTTGTGAAAATGATGTCATGGTTTTTTTTCCAACTTCCTCCAGAAAACTGAACCAATTATCTCTTAAGTTGTTTCCAGGATGCTTCCAAGATATCACTTTACATTCTCTGATTCTCTCATTCCCTTCTAATCACTCTCAAAGATCCATTAATCAAGAAAAACAACGTAAAAATAAGAAGGATGAAGAGAGCACCGATGGTTACGGAAATACGACTTTCTTCAGGTTAAACGGGGATGAAAAAAAAAGAGCAAATGCTCTTTAGAGGACAGTTGTTCTGTAAAAACATTATGAGACGTAGAGAGGAAGAAGAAATCGGGATCTACTTTCTTCTCAAAAGTGTTGCCATTCGAAAAATTATTAGTGTAGAAGTAGAAGTAAAAACGAGACGACAGAGGATGAAAAATCTAAGGTTTGAATCTCATCGCCTCAATGGAGGAGCTGCCGAAGCTGAGTTTAATTTTGGTGGGTTTTTGATATGTTCTAGAGCATCGGAACTTTTCTGAATGTGTGCTGAAAATTGTTTCTTTTATTTAGCAAACATAAGGAAATGTTTTACTAGATATATTTGATTCTGTAGCAACTCAATCTATATGTCTTATGTTTGTTCTACATATTCTGTATTTTTCTGTATCTCCGTTTCTTATTCAGACAGATTTCGTTTCTACCATGACATGTTTTGAACAAGATTTTTAGAAGATCCTATATGTCACGGTAGAGCCCAGAGTTGAAAATTCTTACATGCACGCTTGCAAGTAATTTTACAACCAGCAATACATTCAAATTGTAAAATTTATTGTGTGTAATCTGAGTACGGTAGATGCTCTTTAAGCGTTATGGTTTTTTAAAAATGAATCTTTGAAGAAATTGACCAAAATTACTAGAAAAATAATTCCAATACTCCAATTTGAATTACCGTATTTTCTCTCATAGAAGTCAATCCAAACCGTCAATTTTGAGGTCATTTATCTCAATTCCTGTGAAAGATATCAAAAACTTTCCAACTGATAAATTATTCATCTCAATACCTCTAATTATTTATCAGTTGACAGCCTTTTTATAACTTTTATACGAACTGAGATAATTGAGCTTAAAGTTGACGGTTAGGTTGGCTTCTATTAGAGGGAATACGGTATGTTTCCCAATTTCTTTTGAATAACATTAATTAAGTTACTTTTAAGAATATAGAATATAGGTAAACTGGAAAATTGGGGAATTGCAAACATTTTCTTTTTCAGCAGTTTTTTTGTATCTGTGGCAGAGAAAGAAGTTAGTAGGGTCAAGGAGACTCTACTCTTTTTGTTGCAAACTGTTCTCACAGTGTTCTTTTCAACAATTGAGTTCATGTTTATCCAGCATCTTCCTAAGTGGTTTCCTCCTTCATATATCACTTTCATTCTGATCAATCGTCGCCTCTTATTCTCTATTTCTCTTTGCAAAACCGGCCCCTCCAATTGCGTGACGTACCTCTTCATTCCTAATTCTGAATATTGAAACGAAATCTAAAATGGCTCAAGGAAACTCTTATTATTAGTCCTCCATCATGATCATCACCCATCTGCCAGCTACTCGTTTGGAACATTACTACTTGTCATCAATTATAGGTATACCCAAATTTCTTCGTCTTCCTTCTATTCACCAAAAGATGCGCGAAATGAAAAAAAGAAACAAATCAATCATCTGAATGAAGTAAGAGATCGCTGGGTTTAGAGAGACACAGACACTCATTGAACTGATTTGATAACTTACTTCTTGAAAAAGAAGATTCCTTGGAGTATAAGTAAAAAGATAGGGCCTCTGTTCGCCACGTCACAAGAGGAATGCCTGTCTGGCTCTCTCTGAAATTGGAACTATTTCCTCGAGTGCTTCTTCTTCCTGCCAAAAACCTTTCCGTTCAATCTCTATTGCTGAACAAACAGTGTACCAAGACAAAAGTTAACTGGGGGAGCTTCTTCCAAACTTTTTCTTTTTTCCTCTTTCTGCCACGTGAAACTTCTATTCTGTCTTTTTTAGTCAACATCTTCTTCTTCTTCTTCTTTTTTGACAGCAAATCAATTTTCAGCTCCTCCTCTTCTCTTTAGTCTTTTTTTTGTTACAGTCTATCGTTCGCTTTTTTTCTATCTCATTCGATCATTTTGGTCAACTGAAACAAAGAAAAATGTCGGACGAGAAGTCAGTATCGTCGGCGCTTCGAAATTCTGTCAACTACACAGCAGCGATTCCTCTAGAAGGTATTTTTCGGTGGACATAAGTTTTTCGAAAAACGAAAATCTTCAAAAGTTTGACATTCGGATTAGTACCTCGTTGCTCGCCACCAGCCCACTACTTTTTTGTTTTTTAAGTTACCATGACAGTACCTTATTTTTTTAAATCAGGAAGTATTGATAAATATGAAGTTCCCGCCCTTACTAAACTTCCAAGACGATTGTTTCTTCTTCTCTTCATCTTATCACCTTTTTCGAAAATAAGAAAATAGGAAAAGGAAGAGTGTGGACGTTTTTTTTTCACATTTCGGTGATGAAAATCTTCCTTCGTTCTAATTATCAGTTTTATCGTTTTGTGTCAAATTGGATTCTAAGTTTTATTAGCTAGAGAGGAATTTAGACTAGGTTTGGGCAGCAAAATTAGTTACTTTGGCTTGCCAATAGAATCGCACGCCCTCGCCGTCACTTTGAGCTTAATTATCTCGATTTCTATAAAAGGTAACAGAAAGCTGTTAACTGATAAATTCTTGATCATAATGTCACCAACAATTTATCTGTTGACACATTTTTGATATCTTTAATTCATACAAATTGAGATAATTGAGCTTAAAGATCGAGTATAGGGTATCTTTATCATAGAACGGCACACCATTACTTTCCCTTTAATTTAATTTCACTCGCTTTTCGCAACAGATTTCTATTTCTGTTAATTGATAAAATTTTATAAAGAAATTCAAAATATATTGTCAGTAAATGACTTTCAATAAATCTCGCCGGACCCGAGATAATTCAGGTTGAACTTCCAATGTACCGTATTCCTCTAGCCCACGGATACCTTCAACTTTGAACTCAGTTATCTCAATTTCCATAAAAGATAACAACAGAACACTGTCTACTAATAAATTATTAATCATATGTAATATTAGAAATATTTTCAGCTAACAAAATTTCGAAATCTTTCACAGGAATCAAGATAATTAAGCTCAAATTTGATGAGATGGATGGGCTCCTATCAGATGAAGTACTGTAGGTGGGACGGTTCATTGGAAACTTAAGAGCCCAAACTTTATTGAACCACATATTTATGTTCTTAATCTCCTATCTAGTTCATCGTTCTGTTGATCTTTGTTCATTAGATGGAAATAGTTTTATTTGCTTACACCAAAATATCCCACTGAACTCAAGTTGTGGTATCTGTGAGTTTCAAATCTCCAAAGGCGATTTGGCCAGTTTGATTTGTGACATCCTTGTTTCTTGCACTCCCTCATTTACTGATTTGTGACCTTTTCCTTCTTTTTTCTTCCTTCTCAAAAAGTTCTCTGATTGCAGGAGAGGTACGTCGTGCGGCCGCCAGTTTCCAAGAGCATCCACTGGAAGACGAGAAAATGAGTGAGACAGAAATCATCACAATCCGCAAACCGGACGGAACCACCGAAACCAAGACAGTGGTACGTTGTTGTGTGAGTCCCGTGTAACCTGCTGCTGCCCCCGCGAACAGAAAAAAAACGACTGATTGAGGAGAAGGAAAAGAGTGTTAGATAGATAGCAGTTGTTTGGGGGATTTTCTCAAGGTGTTTGACAGATTTTAGCGCTTGTCAGATTTCGTGTTTTAGCAGGATTAGCCATCATGAGTAATTAGTTACTAATTACGTTACAGTAATAGAAAATAATACAATATCTGAGCTACTGGCATAACTCTCAAAACATAATTTAAACCTAAACCGTTGAAACTGACTATGAGTAAATTCTCATCTGAACCAGTTTTTGTAGGTCAACTAGAGACTGATGCCTGTGTATTCCATTTGTGAAATTTGCCATGTTTGTTAATTTACCATTATTATAAATCTGAAAATTTTTATTCATTTCTAGAAACCGGCCAGCGGGCCTGACCGGACTGGGCTGGGCCCGGGTTTATTACATTTGAAAAAAAGATGAAATTTCTGCAATTTTCTCAAATTCTTTTGATAAAAAATGTTTCGAATAATACACAGTCCGGCTCGGCTCGGTTTGTTGCAAATATGAAATATTCCTTATTTCACCTTCAGATTATTGCTCATGTCAGTTACAGAATGTCCCAATGAACCATAGATCCTCAAGATTTGAAATTTGATGTAGCCTTTAAAATGAAATAAAATTATCCTACTATAGTAGGTTACTACTAGGGTTATAGTTCGAACTTTTCCGTAAAACCAAAATTATCTTCGTACTTGATAGAAATATCAAAACCTGGCAAAATAATGTCAAAAAATTTTACGGCATTTCCTCTAACATAAGCAAACTCAAACCGCTGACTTCGAGCTCAATTATCTCGATTCCCGTGAAAGATATCAAACAGTGGTCAACTAATAAATATTGGTGATATTATGATAAGCATTCTGTTAGAGGTTCACTTGTTGATATCTTTCACACGAATCGAGATATTTGAGCTCAAATAGACTCAACTCTCAATTTAGCGCTGACTTTGATAGTTTCGTATATTTTTCGGTTCCAAAAGGAAAATCTCTTCTGTTTTATTTTTTTTACAAAAAAAATTTGCAAATCCAAACAAAAATAGAACTGAAAAAGCCGAATGTACCCGAAATTGTATTTACCGATAACATGCTAATAGATTTTATTTTACGGCAAATTTTACGGCATTTCCTCTAACATAAGCCCACTCAAACCGCTGACTTTGAGCTCAATTAACTCGATTCCTGTAAAAGATATCAAGAATTCGTCAACTGATAACATTCACTTGATATTATGATAAAAGTGTATTAGTTGACAAATAATTCATATCTTTTATAAGACTCGAGATAATCGAGTTCAAAGTGGAAGGTTTGGGTGGCCTTCAGAGGACAATATTTAGTTTGCAAAGATTTGATTTCTTCGGCCGTGATAGTGGACCAGCTTGTTTGATTTGATACGGTTGCTGTTATACAGTTTTTCTCGAATTTTTCTACAGTCTAAAAAATGGACAGCCGAGTGTATTTTTATTCATAGAGACGCATTATGTCATTTCATCAACAAAATGTATTATAATTTGAGAGTACCAGATTTTATATCCCAGATCCGGTCCACCCAACCGCATTTGATCCTCTCTCCATTTTGCTGTTTCATCACACAATTTTCCACCCTTCTACCAGTTATTTATTTACCTGTCCTCCTCCTCCTTCTTCTTCTATTCCCATCGATTTCCTCTTCTGAATATATATTTTTGGCGTCGACGTCGTCGTAACAGCAGAAAAGGTAACTGAAGACCGCCCAAGACTATCCCGATTGACGTTAGACATTCTTGAAAAGAGAGAGAGAGAGACCACACCTTCTTATCATTTTTTTCAAGTTCTGTTGTTGGTTTCATTCAAAAACCGTTTATTTTTTCTTGAGAAGGTCTATTGAGTAGAAAACCTAGGTAAATGCATTCACATGTAAAATTGAATATTCCTAGCTACGGTAAACACTATAATAGAACGCCATCCCTAACTTCTAAATTGGAGCCAATTTATCTTAGTTCCTGTCAAAGATACCAACAATTTGTGAACGGATAAAATAGTGGTGATAGTATGATTAATATTTTATCAGTTGTCAGATTTTTAATATCTTTCGGAAAAACCGAGAGAATTAAACTCAAAGTTAACGTTTTGAATGGGTTTCTATTAAAGAAATTACGGTATAAAGTTTTGCAACACCTCTTCTTTGCCAGTTAATTGAATTGTTTTTTTTTCGAATGACGTTTATGATATCATCTTCAAAAATTAGGTTTTATTCTGTTTTCTAAATTCCATCACACATCTGTCACACCACCCAGTCAACAACAAAGGTATGAAGTTTCAGTCTTTGTTCGCTATAATATTTTTTTGCTCTGATTACAACCAGCCGTAATTGTTTTCAGCAGCTCTTTTTTTCAGATTTCACAAGTAGAAAAACCAACAAAAAAATGTATTGTTTCCGAAGTGAACATCAGTGTATTTGTGTTTTATCACCCCTGCGAGAAACGAGGAAGAATATCATTCAAGGTCTTCTTCTTCTTCTCTTTCCTCTTCTTTCCCAGTTTCACCTTCCATTTCCGGATATTTTCAAGAGGACGAACATGACCCTTTTGTGTTAGGACATGACTTTTCAATACTCTGACCACATACTACTTCCGTGGAAGTGACACTTTCGGTCAACATTGACGACCCATTCCATGTTACTCAGATTTTATGAAGCGAAACGAAATTATGAATTTGTTAGTCTCGTAATTAGTCTCGTTTTGTAGGATTGACCCAAGTTTTGTAATTTCTAAAACTTGTAAATTTGTATTCTGGAGATTTTTGACAACTTTGAAATGCATATAGTACCGGGCAATAAGATATTTTTTAAAATAAAGCATTTTTCTTTTGGCCATTTTCAACATCGTTCAATTTTCCGACCACTTCGAAAACTTTTATGGATGTAATACAGACCTAAATGGAAAACTTTGCATTCACAGAACTTTTTGAAAATTCCCAGTTTTTCAGTTATTTCAAGTTTTTTGAAAGAAACCTGGTTTTCCATGTTTTCAGTACAAAAACAGGCCGAAAAGGATATTTTATTGAAATCGTCCAATATCTGAAAAACTAGGAATTTTCAAAAAAAATCTATGAATGCGAAGCTTTCAATTCAAATTTCAAATTTATTTCACACCCTCCAAAATTTTCAAAGAGATCGGAAATGTGACAGCCGAGCTCCAGACTCCTGAAAATGGTCAAATGGACAAAAAATGGACAAAAACTAAAAAAAATAACTTTTTTGTTTATCTTATTGACTGGTACTGTAGGTTATGTGATTTCAAAAAACTTGCAGACTTGCATTCTAGAAATTTTCGGAAAACTTTTAAAGAATTGTTAGGTTTTGTTCGAGTATTTACTGAACCATGATTTGGTGTGTCTTTTAGATTGCAAACCTATCAAGAAAAACATTTTCCAATGAGGATCTCCCTAAAGGATCTCCGGAACTTTCTCCCTTCTTAATTTGTGACACCATCAAAAAAAGAAATTTCGAGACAAGTACAATAGTCTCTCGATCTCTCATCTCTCGGTTCTTGACCCTCGTAATGCTACTATCATCTTCAACGGATCTTCCTTCTCCTTCCTTTTTCTTCTTCTTCTTTTCAACATCTCGGTATTACTATACACGTATCTTCTGTCACTTTTCTCCCAAACCGGGTCAATCTCGACTGTCTATTTTATTTACAAGACCAATTTAAATCTATCTTCGTTTTACTTTTCCTGGAAACTTCCCAGGCTTTATTGATAGTTTTTTCTTGTTGCTTTCTTCTTTTCTCATATTGGAGAAGGCACGAATTGTTCGGTGTTTTGTCATCACCTCGAACAAGGAAAAAAAAGAGAATAAAAGGAATCGGCAAAACTTGGAATTCTTTCTATATCATAACTTTTTTTGGGTTTGCTGGTCTTGTTATTTCTTTTGTACTAAATTCTCGTCGTCTCCTTTTTCCGTATCTCTTTCGAATCATAATCCTTCTTTATTGCTGTCCTTGAAGGATTGTGGTGAAAATGATGAAAACAGAAGAAGGTACAACCGTCGAATTGGGACCAGCCAAGGAAGTTCCACATTCCGATGATATCACCATTCCAACTGCTTCTCCAAAAAAGGTTCTTAAGAGTTGTATAGGGAAGCGCGCATAAAAAAGATAACGATTTTGAGTTCGATGTTACACTTTTTTGATTTCAGGAGAAGAAGAAGCTTCAGTTCCACATGGCTAACAAGGTGAAAATCATTCCAACCAACCGTCAAGGACAACTGAACACTGGATTCTTGGCGACTCTTCCAGGAGTTCTCAAGATTGCCGAGATTGTGAGTTTGACACAGTGGAAATATGGCTTTCATTTCGGCCGGTCAAAAATCGGCGACCGTCGGCCAAGCGCCGGCCGACCGAGCTGACCAAGAAAAAACGAAAAGAAAAACATGTTGGTCGGCTGGGTCGGCGGTCGGTCGATCGGACAGACTTCCCGACCGCCTGGAAGCCCTATGTTTTTTCCAAATCTGAGATTTCTGGGCCCAGAAAGCAGCCAAAGTGACACCCAGATTCCCAATATTTCCAATTGGGCACAGTGAAAACCAGTGCGACAGTACACCCTATCGCTTAAAGATCCGCAAAGCATCACTTTGGACTACTTTGTGGGCCCAGAAATCTCAGATTTGGGAACTTTGAACACAGCATTAAATAGAAATTCAAAAAATCATTTGTATTCTAAGGTTCTCTCTTCTATCGCTTTCATCCTTGCCATCTGTGCCGATCGTCGTACAACAACTGCTGCCTTCACTGAGCACATCTCTTTCGGATGCGTTTTTGTTGTTACCGGCCTTCTCCTCGGATACGTCATCTTCCCACATCTCACCCTCAAGGATGAAGCTGCCAGAGAAGGTCTTATTGTTGTTGTACGTAATATTTCCAATCCTTCGAACTCTTTCCATTTCCAATTTTCTAGGAATTACTGTTCTATGGAATCAACACTGTTCTCAACTTCATCTCAATCTGGTTGATGGTTCATTTGTCTGCTAGTTGGGGAACCGATGGACGTGGAGCTGCTATCATGACTGCCGTCATCTGCGTCGCCCTGACTGTGTTGTTTGCCATTGAAACAGTTCTGAAGCTGAAGGCATGGCGAGGAGAAAACGAACCACAATCTGTTGTTGAAGCTGGAAATGCTCAAGCCTAAATTCCCTCAATTCAACTCTCTGTGATGATACATTCTTAGCCCCCATGATGTTCCTAGTCTCCAAAATATTGAATTGCCAAAAAAAAACCAACCAAAAAAGTCTTGTTCTTTTCTTTCTCACTTCACTTATTTTTCACCCTTCCCGAGCCTTTAATTTTCCTGTGTTTTATCGCTCACAGGTAGCTTTTAGTATAATTTTTTTTCAAGTCTGTTCATTTTTCGAATGATAATAAATCAATTGGCGAAATTAGATCACCCGGCCATTGGTCGGTTTCGGGAACTATTGAAGTTTCGAATGTCATTGTAACCAGAAAGTCATTGTAGCTGGAAGCGATAGTATCAGGCGATACAAATGGTAAATTTCTATAATTAAAATTTCACTGAAACTCTAAATTTTAGCAAAATACCAATTCAACTCGTACTACAGTTCCAAAAGTGTCATCGCCAGATGCGGATGAAATTCTTGCTGATTTCCAGACCAAAAAATCCTTTAAATCTAGAGAAACCAATATGAAGGTTATTCTTTTTTTGAGTTGAATGATAAATTAAAAAAAGCTTCAGGATGTTGTTGAAAATCTGTGGATCAGTTTCATCTCGTTCCTTGTTTTTGTTACTCATATTCTCCAAGTGACAATTGAGGTATTCGAAATTTCAAAACTAGCTTAGAAAACCTGAAAACTTTCAGAAAAATCGCAGTATTCTGTGTCCAGGTTTACAAAATAGCAAAGTTCTGTTATAGTAAACCTAACCATGCGAAAGAACTTGTTGTTACAACATTCCGACTGATCAAACTTTCATACGATGCAGAGATTTGGACATGGACGGATATGTGGGAAATCATGAGAACTCATTTGATCGGCCCGATGACTCGGTCACCAGGAGAATCTGAAAAATCCAAATAAAAGTTAATTTTCTTTTGATTTTCTTTTTGAACTTAAGAATAAACTCGAATAAGTTTCTATCAGTTTGCCTTTCATTTATAGGAGAACAGACAATTTTCCCGTTTTGAATATACCTATTTCCACTGATTGTGAGCTCTAGGCCAATGAAACCGCCAACTTTGAGCTCAACTATCTCGATTGCCGTAGAAGATATCAAAAATAGGTCAACTGATAAAATTTTGGTGATATTATGAAAAAACTTATCAGTTGATAGACTTTTGATATCTTTCACAGGAATTGAGATGATTGAGCTCAAAGTTGACAGTTGGGGTTTATTAGAGGAAACGGTATTGATTAGTTCACATATGGAAATTTATGTATTAACATAAATTCATTATGATAATTTAAACATCAAACTGTTACCTGTTTCTGTTTCAAGAGTTTCTTTACATCCGATTCGGAAGCCCCAAATGCATTCCTAACAGTCGTTTTCAACTCCATAACACGCCTTTTTTTGAATTATAGTCAGACACAAAAGTGTGTGTTTTAACCTAGGGATATCCCCCACCGGACATCTCAATTACCTTCCTTTTCTTTGTCTTTCTGGAATCTTTTTCACGATTCCTACTCTCAGACGTCATTACACTTCTCACCAGGAAGTTGTCTTCCTCTCATCCTTGTCTCTATCTATCGCCCCCTCACAAGTACAATCTATGCATTCTTCAAAATTTTTTTTTCAAGAATATTCGTTTTTTCCAAAAATATTTCGATCTTCCCAGAGCTATATAATAGAAAACGAAGAGGGATTGAAGGATGTCGTCGTAGCCACCCACTCTAGAAAACGAAGTAGGAAAAGGAGGTAATAACTCAAAAAGGTTGACCAAACACTCATAAATAAACTGGGTCAAATGTTGCCGGAGCCATGAGTAATAAACTTGTAGTTGTTTTTTGAAATGCTCAGTAAATTATTGACTCAGAACTGAGTTGGGTTTCCAACTGAAGTCTCAGCTTAGTCGCCTTAACTTAAGAAACCCATTTTCCAAACTTTTGAACTTATGTTAATGCAGAGAAAGTTCAGTTTTGGTTCCTTCGATAGCAGGATACTAAAGTGAAAGGATCCTAAATTTCCGAATCCAATTCTAGAAGATCCTAAAGATCATAGTGTTCTGTTGAACTCTTTTTTGAATTGACCTTTGAAAACATCATCTCCATCCTTGACGTCTTCTTCATCTCCATCCCATTCATTCGTTGTTTCTTTATTTTTTTTCAACAAAATACTCATTGTTCGAATTACCGGAAGTGCGTGCAGAAGAGGTGGCAGAAAGCACACACCTTCTCCTCTCGAAGTTTGGTCGAGGAGTTCAGTTTCGAAGAACAAGTCATGCGGGCTAAAACGAGTAGACTCTTCGCGTCGGATGTCGCCAGAAGCAATCTCGATTCTTGTTATTCCGAAGAGTCATGACCCACCACCACTACCATTCTCTGTTTTTTGACCGGTGTTTTCTGGGTATTTGTGTTGAGCTCCAAAACATTTTTGATCTTTTGAAGTTTTTTGCACTCGATTCTTTTGTTTGGAGTTCAACGTTTTGTTGTTTTGCAAAAGATTGAGTAGCGCAAACTAGAATAAAACTCGACGGTATTTCAGCTTGATAGATCAAAATCATCATTCTGATAAAGAGGATGGCTTAAAATTTTCCGGACTGATAAAAACGGGTATATCTTTAGACATAAGTATCTTGGAAGCACGAAAATTGATAGAAATATAATTTTACGTTTGATTCAGAGCTACTGCAATTTTCGAAGCTATTGCTCAAGTCTAGGTAACGTTATTATTGTGTATAGATGAACGGCGTAATGCTCCATCAGATTCTATTGAGATGAAACAACTTTGACAGCGATAACTCAGCTTATAGTTGATCAAATAATTTGAAACTTGGCCAGTTATTTTGGGCGCTCCAAATTTGAGCCCAGAACAACGCTTCACTTAAATGTTATGGTAGTACAAACTTGGGTAATTATGCGCGATCCTTTTTGACTATTTTTCTACCTACAGTGCGTCCAATAATTATAGGACCCCCTAGATTTGGGGGGTTCTGAAAAAACTAAAAGTGATACCAAAATTCTGTAAACGCCATTCGATTCAAAATACAAAATAACCCCCAGGTACAAATTTTCATGTTCCTACCTCTTTTTAGACACCCGTACTAACAAAAAGACCCTCCAGCAGACGTCCAATGGCTCCCGGGTAAAATTTTGCGCTGAAGTTAATAGGAAATATCTCAAGAAAGCTCATAATCATGTTGCAACTGTTCTAGCAATTCTCGACCACTGGTTGCTGATAATTCAGCTTGATCTTTGAACTGAAAAAAATGCCAAAACGAAACATTTTCCAAGTTGTATAAAGCGTCGGAAAGATGTTCTGAAGTTGCCATTGAACTTGTTAGATCGTACGGAAAAAATGATTTTTACTTGTGAAATCGATTTTTTAACGAAAATCAGAATTATCGAATTTCTAGTTCAGTTTTGGAAATTTCAGTTCCGCCTAAATTACAAACCACGGCTCGGAATAGCACCAAGACAATTATTAGACACTCCAAACCACTGCAGAAATGTTTACTATTAATTTCAGCGCAAAATCTTACCCGGGAGCCAAGTTATTCGTGATTTATTCCAAAAACCCTAAAAATGGCGAAAATGTCTGATTTTTCTAAAACTTGAATAGAGGAATCAATTTTTGTCTAAACCGTCAAAATAGACGGTTTTAAGACTATTTCAACAGTTTCCAACAAAAAATTTCAATTTTAAACCCTAAAATAGTTGAGATTTTTCGTTTTTCTGTGTCTAAAAAGATGTAGGAACATGAAAATTTCTACCTGGGGGTTATTTTGTATTCTGAATCGAATGGAATTTACAGAATTTTGATATCACTTTTAGTTTTTTCAGAACCCCCAAAGTCTCGGGGGGTCCTATAATTATTTGACGCACTGTATTTAAAGTTACTTCTTATTAATCGACCAACTCATACAGTAACTTTGAAGCTCAAACTGTTGATGCCTAATAGAGCTTGAGCATGATACACCGAGTTCAAATTTGGGTACCATATAAAATGTGTATCATCAGGAAATCACAATCATTTTATCAGTCATTATTAGTTTCCCGAAATTTGAGATGGCTTGGATTAAAACAACTCTACTATAGTGCGGTTTTATCAAAGGAAGACCAATTTAGAACTATTGAGATAACTTTTTGAATCGTTTTGTTATCAGGTTCCACCCATGCCATCTTTATATGTGTTGTACCCTTCGTAGGGACGAAATTCGAATGTTTCAACAATTTAAGGGTACATAATCCACAATTCGGAGGAACCAAATTTGAACTTCTCGCACCTCGATGACCCCAAAAATATTGTACCCTCCGAATTATTTGTCTCCTTCGTATTATATTTCTGTTCTACTCCCGTTCCTGTTTTTTCCCACAGTATCATATCTCGTCTCTGTTCCTGTAACTGATATATTCTGAAAATGTGACATTTTAATGGCTATTCGTTCGAAAACATTTGAAATTGAACCCTATTTCTAGCAGTTCCATATACCTTGTTTTTCTATTCCAGTCTCCAGTTACCGCTTTCGCTCCCTTTGACTCATTGGGGCCGTTTTATTCTCCTCCCACATTTTGTTATTCGGTACTAAATTGAAAAAAAAAACACAACTATACAGTCCCCAGACATTTCATTGTTACCATAATTGATTATAGATTTTTCTCTGATTCCCAGAGGTCTCTTCTACTCTAATCGAAACCCATGGATCCCTCTACTTCCAATTTATGTTCGTCTGGATTGAACACGATTAACGACCTCGCATAAAAATCTCCTTTCTCTTTTCTCTCTCTATTCTTTTCAACACAGAAACAGAAGCTCACATGGAATATATCTATAGTGTCCAAACATCTTCTTCTCTTCTTCTTCTTCTGTTTCCTTTTGTTTTGTCTCCAGAATCTTGAAATTCACCGTTTACGTCTTCGTTTTATTTTTTTTCTAATTTCCGTTGGCAACTTTCTTCTTTTTTCTTTTTTGAATTTTTTGACTTTTTCATTTCGTTTACCTCGATCGGTGACACAGATGCGCGGGGAATTTGAGCAACAGAAGTAGAAATAGAAAAGAGAAAAGGGGTTGGGCTCTGTAGAAAAGAACGGAAATTGAATCGATTTGCTCTTGAAACCTTTTCTTCGATGAGTGTGCGCAAAATAGAAAAAAAAACGGAGGGATGAAGGATATCGGAATAAGCCACGCCCACTTTCTTTGCTGTGAAAAAGTTTTTAGTTCCGTCTGAACATTGATGCAACCCAATTTTGTGCAGGTTCTCCTTTTGGTCTTTGTTGCAACAGTCCAGCGGGAGAATTTTGTGTTTTGGACTATTTCAAATAATCGATCAGTGATTTAGGTTTGAGAAGTTGATCGATATGGACCGATGATCGATTTTATAACCTACTTGCTTAGATATACTCGTTTGTCGACTTGTAATTTCTTGTCCGAAGTTGAGGAGGGTTCAGCTTTTGTGCCGATATTGGCCAGATTCTCGTAAGAACTTGCTCAAAAAACGGACCACGTAAATATTACTGGGTCGGAACCTTGTCTTAAGTTTGATGGAGTTTGGCTTTAGCCTCCTATACCGAATCTGACCAACCTCCAAAGTTGCCGGCGTCACATGAATAATCAGGCTAGAATTCCCAAAGATCTTCGACAACATGATCCATTACATTTTGAAAATTTATTTTATCATTTTCAGGAAGAAATCAACTCTAAAAATTAACGAAGAACATTTCCAAAAATCGCATGATTTGCATACTTTTTTGCATTCTTTCTAATTGAAGACAATCTTAAAACTTTTGTCAACAGATGAACTTTTTTCGATATCACGGTACGGTGATATTACGGATATACGGTACTACAAGTATTTTTTATACTATTGCTCAAAATTAGTTCTCCTGACCTACTTTCTAAATTTAGCCTCACACAAAGATTA